CATATACATATATATACACATACATATATATACACACATACATATATGTGTATGTATGTATATATATATATATAGATAGAATAATATTTGTATATAGTTGTAGTAAAATGTTTCTTCAGCCACGAGCACAAAGATTTCTGCTCAACATGTTTGTTGCAGAGCAAACATGAACTGGTTTATTGTGGTTGATCTGGTTTATTCTGATGGTGCATTTTGTTTTCTTCGCTGAGTCACAGAAACACATTTCACTGTTTCTCTGAAAATTGTCGCGAAAAAACCACATGTTGACATTATGTCGATGAATTAAAGGATGTTTGTTTCCTGTTTTTAAGAGTTATTCTCTATTTTTATAATCATCAACAAAAACGGAAATAATGAGACAGTGTGTTAAACATCAGATGATTGAAATATGAATTATTAAAAATAATTGTGTTATATTATTCATCAATAACAGGTGTGAGAGTTAAAAAGTATAACTAATAATTATATATTTTTCACTTGTTAGCTGAGGAGATCAAACAGTAAAGAGATACGGGCGATTTGATTTATTTATTGAAAAGAGTCGTCGTCGTCCTCTTCTCTCTAAAAATAAGAAAACAAACTGTACAAATATTTAAAACCTCTTTAGTTAGAAAGACCGCCTTCAGACCAGCTAGTGTTGTCATATGATGATGATGTCACACGATGATGTCACTTCCTGCATGTCTTGGAGCGCAGCTGTCTCTTGATGATGAGGTGATCGCTCTCCTTCTCCTCCTTTGCTCCTCCGGCCATCTGAAACACAACAACACAACTACGCGTTGAACACGCGCCACTACGCGTTGAACACGCGTTAAACACACGCTAAACACACGCAACTATGCGTTGAACACGCAACTGCACATTAAACACGCAACTGTACAACAACGTCTCTCTCACACACACACACCACACACACCATGCTCGGGGAGTCGATTAGTGGAGTTGAGGCGTCCGTCCTATAAAGCTTTCTCCGTCCTCGTTTTGGTTTGGTTGCCGTGGTAGCCGTCTCCTTGTCCACTGAATGTCCACTGACAAGGCTGATGATGGTTTTAGCTGCAGAGACACGGAGAGGCAAATACAGGTGGATAAAGAGGTCACAAATAAGTTAACATCAGTCAGACCGTAGCATCAGTCGGACCGTAGCGTCAGTCAGACCGTAGCGTCAGTCAGACGGTAACGTCAGTCAGACCGTAGCTTCAGTCGGACCGTAGCGTCAGTCGGACCGTAGCGTCAGTCAGACCGTAGCATCAGTCGGACCGTAGCGTCAGTCAGACGGTAACGTCAGTCAGACCGTAGCTTCAGTCGGACCGTAGCTTCAGTCAGACCGTAACGTCAGTCAGACGGTAACGACAGTCAGACGGTAACGACAGTCAGACCGTAACGTCAGTCAGACCGTAACGTCAGTCAGACCGTAGCTTCAGTCAGACCGTAGCTTCAGTCAGACTGTAACATCAGACAGCGCTCCGGATGTTTTTACTTTCAGAACTGTTACATAACCGTTGTTCATAACAGTCGTACTGCTGCAATGAGTCATGAAAGACACACCTACCTTTGCTGCCCAGGATGGAGGGAGAGCTGTGGATTAACTCTCCGTTCTTCTGAAGAGGGCCGTCTCTCTTCTCCTTCACCACAGAAGACCGGACAGAGAGAGACAGACAGAGAGACAGACAGGGTGAGGGACAGAGAGACAGACAGAGAGACAGGATGAGGGACAGAGAGCTATTTAACCATACTGCCCACAGAAGGTCTTTCACAGAGCTTTTCATAGCTACAACCCAAACGGGTCTGATTCAGTTTTATTGTCATCAGGTCAATCAGGACAAAGTCATTAACATGAGTCATGCTTTAGCTGGGAGTCTATGATGGAACATAGAACCAAAGGAACCTTTGTCTTCTCTCTTCAGGTGTCTTTTGTTTCTGACCTGTTTGTTGTTTCGACAGTTTCCTCTCACTTTGTTTCTCTTGTTCTCACTGAACACCAGGTCCTGAAACAAACACACACACACACACACACACACACACACACACATATATATATATAATAAAATATACACTATATATATATATATATAACAGGTGCCAGGTGCTACAGGTTGCCGTAGAAACAAACTGAAACCAGTAAGATCAATATAGAAACTTAAGATTTAGAAAATGTCTCAAACCAGTGAACTGTCCAATTACACACACACACACACACACACACACACACACACACACACACACACACACACACACACACACACACACACACACACACACACACACACACACACACACACACACACACACACACACACACACACACACACACACACACACACACACACACACACACACACACACACACACACACACACACACACACACACACACACACACACACACTCACACACACACACACTCAC